TGGCATCAGCCTAGCTCACAGCAACCTCAAACTCCTAGGCTTAAGCGATCCTTCTGCCTCAGCCTCCCGAGTAGCTGGGACTACAGGTGCACACGCCACTGTGCCCGGCTAAGTTTTTTCTATATATTTTTAGTAGTCCAGATAATTTCTTTCTATTTTGAGTAGAGACGGGGTCTCGCTCATGTTCAGGCTGGTCTCGAACTCCTGACCTCGAGTGATCCTCCCGTCTCGGCCTCCCAGAGTGCTAGGATTACAGGCATGAGCCACTGTGCCCGGCCTTAAAAATATATTTATATTATATTATGTTGAGTTGGTTGCCAGGGTAGGGAGAGCATTAAACTGCTTAGTCCACTCAATACTATCAACCTTCCTGCAGGACGGGGAAAGAGAAACTCATTATGCATGCTTTCTATATGAGCAAGTTGAGAACCTTTGAAACAAAACTGTCCAGAGACCCATCTTGGACCAGAGATTGTTTCCATCTTAAAGTTGTAGGGTTAGAAGGAGGGAGAAAATGAAGATTGCCAGAAAAGACTTAGGCCTGAGTCTTGGTTTTGCCACTTACCAGTGGGTGACTTTGGGCAAGTCAGTCACTTAACCTCTCGACGTCTCGGTTTCCTCACCTGCAAAATGGAGTTGGTAACACCTATAACACCTACCTCTCCGGGTGGTTGTGGGAATGAAATAAAAGTTAGGTATCCTCATGACTGTCACTGTGTCCAAATTCCCATTCCCCCACAATCCCCTCCAAAATATCTTTAATAGATAGTAAATTATCCACTTCTATGGCCAAGGAAATCACAACCTCGCAAAAGAGCCTGTCTCAAATTGTTAGAAAATTTTGTCTTCGGTTCAACCCGAATTTGCTTTCCTTAATCACCGTCCGTGTATCCTCATTCTCCCCTCTGCAGCTACAGACTCCTCCCTCTTCCAGATAACAAGCTTCCTATTCGTGAAACAGTTCCCCTTGTCCACAAAGACTTTGTGAGAGACTGTCAAACGTTCTGCTAACATCAAAGCACATGTCATCTAATCGTATGTCTTTGTCTGGCAAGTTTATTTTCCGAAAGAAAATGAAGTTGGTTTGGCACGAAATGCTGCATGACCCTTGCTGGCTTCTTTTTCTAAGTATTTTTTTCTTTTTCATTTGCAAAATAGGGATCCCAACATCGACCCCGCCTCCCATGATCAGAATCGAATACAATCAAAACAATAAAACAGCTTTACACAATGTAGATTGTGGCACAAATGTAAGAGGTTCCCATCTGCTGAATGAGACCTTCCTGGTTCCGGGGAAGCTCACTTTGCTCACTGTGCCCTGGGTTGGAAGACAAATGAGCAATTTTTTTTAAAAAAGGCAATATGTTAAATTGGGGGAAACTTCACAAAATTATACATTTAATGATATATTTGGACTAATATTAAATTGTTTATTTTCTTTCTACTGTCCAAAAATAATTACATCATAATGCCTTTCTACAGGCAAATGCAAAACAGGGAAAGGGGACGTTATTGAGTGTCTATGATCGTGTTAGACTCTATACGTACCCTCCCCTTGAACCCCACCCCCAAGCACCCTGCGAAATAGGAACCCTCCATTTTGCAGATGAACAGGCCCAGAGAGATTAGGGCCATACAGGTAACAAACAGTCCAAACTTCAGCCCAAACCGGGCCTGTTTGATTCTAGAGCGCTCATTCCTTCCAGCGTACCCAGCCTGCTTTCTCTGACTCACGGCTTCCACGGCCAGTTCCCTCCCTCAGCCTTAGCTCTCCAGGAATTCTCCAGAACTCCATGGGCCCTTCCATCATTGCCTTCTCTCTCTCTCTCCTCTCTCCCCCTCTCTCATTTTTGAGCACTAGTAAAGCCTTTCACTTCTTATATTATCCAAACTTGACCCAAAACAATCAGAAAATTTCTATTTTGAAAAAAGCACCCAAACCACCACCACCCAAAATCCTCAAACAAAAACCATCACTGGGTGGAATCTTTCTGACCTTTTAAAATAGTAGTCCACAGAGTTGACAACAGCCAACACTTGAGTTCAGTGTTGGGCAAGGGCTCCACTCCACAGGTCTTCCCAACCTGGGGTGGGGTGGGGGGTTCTGTTGCTCCGGATGCCCCCGTAGGCTTCCTCTCTCTCCTCCTCCCTCCATCAGACTTCCCAAGGAGTGTGTGTCTCAGCCGCCCCTCACCACCTAGTCCCACCTTAACCATCTAAAATCTGGTTAAGTGTCCCCCCTTCATCCAAAATGATGCTCCCTAAGTTTCCCCGTGATCTCCGCATGGCCAAATGCAACGCCCCTTTCTCCATCTCTGCAGTTCCCGTGTCTCTGAAGCACCGCATGTTGATGACTTGTCTCCTCTCTTGAGTCCATGACTTTAGGTTTTCGCTCTGTAACTCTGACTACATTTTCCCTAGCCCTTTTCTTTCTCTTCCTCCCTAACCAAAGAAT